TAGGGTTTAGGGCTTAGGGTTGCTCTTAGGGTTCTAAACGTCGGATTTCGGGGAGGCGCTGGTCCTTTACAAGGATTCGGACCCCCTCCTCGGAGGAAGAAGGAGGCGAAGTAGAATCCTCGTGACTACGCGCCTACACCCTGAATGCAAACCCTAAGCACACCAGCAACAAAAAAAAATGAAGTACCAAAGCACTTGAGAAACCGCACGGTTCCATAAGGGCTCTGCGCAGCTTGAACCGGGTTCCAAAGCCTTGAAACATGACCTTACACTCCCAAAACCTACCTTTTTAAGCACGCATTTATGTGATCAACCCTAGTCTGGGATCTATAGGGACCCTACCCATCCCCCGGGTCTGGGAGGTTAAGAGTTNNGGTTTAGGGTTTAGGGAGGTTAAGGTAAAGGGCTGATCTCCGCCTTGAGCTGTCGAAGGCGCATCGTAGGATGTGGCGCGGGTGCCGCGGGTGCCCGTGGATCCATCTGCCTCTGGCGATGTCTTCTGGGGTTTTGGGTTTATGGTATAGGGTTTAGGGTTTAGAGTTTAGGGCTTATAGGGTTTAGGGTTTAGGGCAGCCCTGAACGTCTAAACGTCTCGACCCCACAAACCCCTAAACCCCTAAACCCCAACACCCCAAAACCCAGAAACCCCAAAACTCCAAAACCCAAAAATTCCGAAACCCAAAAATTCCGAAACCCCTAAACCTAGGCCTTAGAGTTTAGCGTTTAAGGGTCTACGTTGCAGGACCCAGGAGGATCTCGGCAGGTTCATTCGTCTCCAACAAAGCTTGTCACAACGGTTTGGGGTTTAGGGTTTAGGGTTTAGGGTTTAGGGGTTTAGCGTTGAGGGTTTAGGGTTGAGGGTTCAGGGTTTAGGGTTCAAGGTGTTCTTTGGTTTCGGGTAGTCTTAGATCGGAACCTGCAAGGACTAAGCGGTCAGCCCCTGCCGCCTTAAAGGCATCTCGGTGGTCTCTCCAATTCCAAACTACTCCCCTAAACCCTAAACCCTAAACCCTAAACCCAACATCCGAAACTACCCTGAAGCCCTGCAGGACTCTGAGTCCTCGCACCCAACCACAGGGACGGTCGAAAATCAAGAACCCCAATGCAGACCCCAGAGACCCTCCTTCTGGGAGCCTCTAGAGGGGTCTAGGGTCTAGGGTTCAGGGTTTAGGGTTTAGGGTTTAGGGTTTAGGATTTAGGGTTCAGGGTTTAGGGTTTAGGGTTGGTACCCCGAATGTTACGAATTGCCCGTGACTGACTAAGACATCAAGTTCCTTCTGCCGCCCACCTATTTGCCGCCCTCCCTTAATCCTAAAACGCCCTAGCCTAAACTTAAAGCCTCAACCCAAGACTCAACCCTTCCAAGATATTACACGACCCTACCAAGTAGCGAAGCCACAAAAACCTCAACAAAGCACAGGCCAAAAACCCAAAGCTAAACCCTAAACCC